AGTGCTTGGTATCTATTTGCAAAAGATCATACCAGCTAGGAACAAGCTTCAGAAACGGTCACCACACTTCCTCTCATCCTGACACTCACTCATAGCTTCTGTGGACAATTCTGATACAAAATGAAAGCGTCTTAACTGAAGCACTGTGTCTCCCCACTTGAGGGTAATCTCTGTTGCCAAAGGGCTTGACTAGAGGAGGGACAGGTCAAAAGTACACAGTGCCAGAGAGTTACAGCCACTAAGAGAGGCCTTCAGCCAATCTAAGACACAAGATACATCTTCAGCTTTCTTGTTTCTCTTAGGGACAAATAAGACACATGTGGGCCAGGTGTGATGATGTGTGCCCTTAGTCCCAGCAATTGGGAGGCAGGGGCAGGCAGGATCTCTGTGAGATTTAGACCAGCGTGGTCTACATAACAAGCTCCAGGCCAGCTGAGATTACAGGGGATACTATCTCAAATAACAATAAAAACAGCAATAAAATATGATGCATGTTTCACCCAGAGTCCTCAGTAGGACAGAGCTCTAGAACCCTCGGAGGCAGTGATAACTTGCTGAGTGGTGCGGTCCTTTCTGCCTGTTTCACTTCTGAGGCTCACTGCTACACTTCCTTGCCATGCTTCCTAGGATCAGCTCCCAAACAAACTTCTTGTAATTAAGTCTTTGTTTCTGGGTCCGCCTCTGGGAAACCCCAAGAAAGATACAAGCATATTGAGAAACAAACAGCATTTTTGACAGATAGCTGTCAGCATTCAGGACCAACTAGTATCTGGGCCAACAGCATAGAATTTCCAACACAGATTTTTTTTTTTCTTTGTAGCTACCCAAAGGTCATACCAGTGTAGACAGCACAGAAGAAAATCAGTCTAAACTGTACCATAGGAAATCACAATAGGAATGGATACCACATTATCCATGCTGACAAAAGGGTAATATTTACCAGAGTTAAGGCCAAGATACAGAGCACAAGACAAGATACAAATTCCTCATGATAGGAACAAAAAGGTTTATTAAGTTGTTTGTGTGCATACAAGGACACTCTCAGGAGCTCCAGTGGCACAGCTGGTTAGCTCAAGGTACTTATACAAGAACACTATAAACAGAGTGAGAAAAAAAAATCCATAGAATAGGAGAAAACTCTCGTTATTCATATATCTAAGAAGGGATTAATATCCAAAATATCTAAACAACCACCACAATTTCACAACAACCAAAACTTCCCAATAGCCTAGTTAAAAATTTGTCAAAAGACGTGATAGGGAAGCTGCACCAATGAAATCTCCACTGTATAATAGTCTAACGAAGTCCTCGTAATGACATGCTATTCTGGATAGCTTTAATTGTCAACTTGACACACCTGGGTATGAGAGCCTCAATCGGGGAATTGCCTCCATTGAACTGGCCTTTGGCCATGTCTGTGGAGTATTTTCTTGATTTTTGAGTGATGTAGGAGGGCCCAGCCCATTGTGGGTAGTGCCACCCCTGGGCAGGTTGTTCTGTATTGTATAAGAAAGCAGGCTGGCCGGGCATGGTGGCACTCGCCTTTAATCCCAGCACTCTGGAGGCAGAGGCTAGCCTGGTCTATAGAGCAAATTCCAGGCCAGTTGGGGCTAGAAAAAAACAAACAAACAAAAAAAAAAGCAGGCTGAGCAGGGGCTAGGAGAGCAAGCCAGTAAGAATCAGCATTCCTCCACGGCCTGTGCTCCAGCTCCTGCCTCCAGGTTCCTGCCCTGATGCCCTGAGTTCCTTGGGCTCCCTGATGAATTGTGACCCAGGAGATATAATTCAAATAAATCCTTTCCTTCCCAAGTTGGTATTGGTCAAATTGTTTTGTAACATCAATAGAACACATGCCAGGTGGGTGGGGGAAATGCTACAGAGTCCCAGCTCAAGATGAAGAGCTACAGGCAATCAATGGATGCTGAGGGAGGGAATCAGCTTTCTTCAGGGACCAGCTCCCTGAGAGGTTATCTAATCCCAAGTGGACAGCCCTAAACACGGGTACACATGAGCACCACTAAATGGACTCGATGCATTTGTGTGTGTGTGTGTGTGTGTGTGTGTGTGTGTGTGTTTTAACAATAATAAAGAAGACAGGAAATTGAGAGGGAGTGGGGGACATGGGATGAGTTGATGGGGAACTGGATGGGATAGAAATAATGCAAGGACAATATTCAGGTATGAAATTCCCAAAAATAAAAAAAAATTAAAAATTGGATAAAAGACTTGAATAGACCTTTTTTCCCTAAAGAATATATATAAATATCCAGTAAGTGTATGAAAAGATGTCCAACATCACTAATCATTAAGCACATCAAAATCACACTGAGATAGTAATTCACACCATCAGGAAAGCTGTTACTTAAAGACATGTAGAAGACAGCAAGATGTCTTCCTTAAGATGTGGAGAAATCAGGAGCTGGAGACATGGCTCAGCAGTTAGGAACATTTACTGTTCTTATACAGGACCCAAGTTGAATTCTCAGCACCCACATTGGGTAGCTCATACTACCTATTTTAAGAGAGTTTCCCTGCAGTCCCAGCTGGCCTAGAACTTGCTATGTAGACCAGCCTAACCTCAAGCTCATATAAATCCACCTGCCTCTGCCTCTTGAGTGCTGGGATTAAAGACATGAGCCACCACACCCAGCTTAATTTTAATTTTTAAATTATATTTATTTACTTATTTAGTGTGTGTGTGTGTGTGTGTGTGTGTGTGTATACATGCTCTTACATGCCACTGTGCACATGTGGAAGTCAGAAGACAACTTGCTGAAGTCAGTTCTCTCCTTTTACCATATGGTTCCTGAGATCAGGACTCCTGGAGATCCTAAACTCAGTCATCAGGCTTGGCGGCAAAGCACTTTTACCTGTTGAGTCATCTCGCCAGCTCATTGTCAGGCATTTTGTAAAGTCATCATGTGACTCTTATCTCAAGCCAGGGATGGGAAGGCAAATGTCCCCCTTTTAAGGGATCTTTCTGGGATCCCAGCTGACCACAGCCCACTGCCAAAGCTAGTGAGTTAAAACAGACACTGAAAAATCGGATCATCTTCCAGCACTAGAGGGTGAAGATTCTTCATTTTTCAACATTTAATAAGTGCATATTTTTCAAAAAGTTTCAATGAAGGTACACGGGAGCCTGACTTTTGTGGTATTGATTCCTTCTTTATTCATGAGTTTGAGGGGCTGTTACAAGTGCCACATTCTTTCACTTATGCCCAATCTTTAAAGGGCTTCTGTGTTGTAGGATATATTGTTTTTACAAAGTGCTTGTTTTGGTGTGTACGAAGAGGAAGCAGGACTTGGTTAGGATGTGATTAGGATGTCATTCCTCTGTCTCAGAAAGTGAGACAATAAATGATCTTTTTTAGTATGAGCTGATTTCATTATTCTGAAATGGGAACCATGTACTACTAACCAGCCCACAGGGGATGCAATGCTGAGGCTGATGGGCAGCCACATATGAATACAGGAGTCAGACTCTGACCAGGCTCTTCTGAAGGGGCTTGTGGGAGTCGCCTCACACACTGATCATCGTTGCCACTTCCCTTTCTCTGCCTCTCCTGCCTCTCTTCACCTCTCTTTCTGTCTCACTGTCTCTTTCAGAATCACATGGTTATACCTTAAAATAACTTTCCTAACCCCTAGGATGGACAGTGGGGCCCAGGAGATTTTGCTGGAGGCTTCTGCTTCTGAAAATCACTATTCTCAAAGATCTTATGTCACAAATAAAGAGACCATGGCTAAGACGGGTGTGGCAGCACATGCAATCCCAGCTAAAATGGGTACGGTAGTACATGCAATCTCAGCACACAGATAGCTGAAGAAGAGAACTGTCGTGACTGTATGGGCTGCCTAGACTACATAGTGACTTCCAGGCCCGACAGAGCTACAAAATGAAACCAATTTTCAAAACTCACACACACACACACACACGTACACACACACACACACACACACGCACACACGCACGCACACACACACACACACACACACACACACACACACAGAGGGCCACCAAGATGGCTTAGTGGGCAAAGGTGCTTAAGGCCAAGCCTGACGCTCTGCAGCACCTGCATGGTAGAGGGAAGGAACCAACTCCTACAAGTTGTCCTCTGACATCCACAGGCACAGAGGGGCATGTGCCATCCACCCCAACATGCTAGTCTTGGGAATGGATCTCAAGTCAGGCTTGGTTTCAAGCACCTTTATCCATTGAGCCATCTTGCTGGAGCCTAGAGTCTTGTTCTTCTTTTCTCTTCATTTTATTTAGATTTATTTATGTGGGGTGGGGAGGCAACACACACACCAAAGTTTGCCTGTGGGAGGGTGGGTCAGAGGACAATTGTAGGAGTAGGCTTTTTTCTTTCACCATGTGGGTCCCAGGAATCCAACTCAGGTCATCAGGCTTGCCTGCAAGTATATTTACCAACTGAGCCATCTCATCAGCCCCCAGAGTCTTCCTATGCAGTATCATTGACAGATGTTGTAGTCAACTTCCAAAGAAGTTGAACCATATCTCCCAACATTGAGACCTATGTTTTCCCTCCCATGTTCAATCAGGGCTACTGACAGAATGTTATGAAAGTGATACTGTGTAAGGTGAGAGACTAGGCCTAAGAGGTTTGCAGTTTCTGCATTGTTTTACTTTGGAACACTCTACTTTGAACTCAGGTACCCTGCTGTCTGTGAGGAACCCCAAGGAACAACAGAGAAAGGTTCGCGTGGGGGAGGAACAAGGCCCTAATCACCATTCTCAATTTCTGTCCCAGTAAACAAACCATCACCAAGTTTCAAGCTATGTGAATAAGGGCTATCTTGGACTTCTGGCCAACCCACCCCAGAGGAGTCTAACTGTTCACTGTTCAGTTAACAGAGTGACATACAATAAATGATTAAAAAACAAAAACATGGTAAGTAGAAATGAAAAGTTGCTATTTTAGGGTACATGTTCAAAACTGATTAAAAAAGACACAAGAGGGGAAGAATCCCTTTACCTGTTAGGCTGGAAAGAAACTTGGTCATAGCCTGTGAGCTCGCACAAATCCTTCTCAAGCTCCTGGAAAAGCTGCTGGTATCCCTGGGCTTGGTCCAGAGGCACAAAGGGGTGGATGTTGGCAAATTCTTTCCAAGTAATGGGCTGAAGAACAGGAGAGAAGGAAAAGAAGACGTGCACACTTCAATACTAACAATGATTCTAATGACAATGGTGACATCCTGACACTGAGAATGACACCAATGATCGGTGCACTTAGACATCTGCATTCCTTTAGTTCTCCACATGATCTCACGGAATAAGTACTGTCACTATCTTCGTTATACAAGTGGGACAGAAACACCAAAAAGAGAGCTTACAAAGAAAACAAAGGCCCCAGAATAGACTTATATTCATGAAACAAGGAGTTCGTATGCAATCTTCCATGTGTGCATATTGTTCTCTTTTCACTGAGCAGAATAAGTCCCAGACACAAAAGTAAACAGGAAAAACCCTTCCTTTCAGAACACAAAATCAGTTCCTTTGCCTGACATGATTTGCAATATAAGAGAATAACCCTAAGAAATAAAAGAAGTAAGTAAACTTTGCCGAAAAGGATCTTGGCATAGAAAAGATAAGCATCAACTAGACCATGTTATTCAAATTCCTGTTGACTCAAGGAATAAATACAAGCCTCCAATTCCCTGCCCTTCTGGCATTATGAACGGACTTCTAGAAAGAAATCCATTTGTTGGTTTGATTTTTGGTTTTTCAACTCAAGATCCTGCTTTAGCTTTTCAAGTGCTGGGGCTACAGGCAAATACCTGTCCAAAGTTTACTTTAGCCTTCTTGTTCTTCTTTGTTGTATTAAGAAACAAACCAGAGCCTCATGAGTGCTTGGCAAGTGCTCTATCACACAGCCATACCACTAGATTTTTAAGTAAGTTATTTATTTTACATGTATGAGCGTTTTGCCTGCATGTATATAAGTGCAGCATGTACATACAATGCCCATGGAGAGCAGAAGAGGGTGTCAAATCCCCCGAATCTGGAGTTACAGATGGTTGTTAGCCACCATGTGGGTGCTGGGAACTGAATGTGGTCCTCTGCAAGAGCAGCCAGCGCTCTTGACCACTGAGCCATGTTTCCAGCCTAATGCTTAACATCTTAATTGTATCTCTGAGGTTAACAACTACAAATTGATAAAAATAAAAGTTCTAATAACCCAGATTATTTTAAGGAAGGGTAGAAAAGTATCAGTACTACTCACCCAATTATTTTAACTAAAAATGTAATTTTATAAGGCCTGCAAGCTGGCTCAGTGGGTAAAGATGCTTGTCAACAAGCCTGATGATTTAAGTTTAAATCCTAGGACCCACATGGTAGAAGGAAAGAACTGATTTACACAAGTTGTTCTCTGACTACCACATACACACATGTGCACAGACACACAAGAAACGGAGGAAGGAATGAAGGAAGTGAGGGAGGCAGGGAGAGAAGAAGGGATAAATAAATAATAAATAAATAAATAAATAGGTGATTTTATATTGCTGGCATAGTGGCACATGTTGGTAGACTCATTTACTTGGGAGGCTGAGCTGGGAAGATTGCTCCTAACAATGACTTCAAAATGACCCTGAGCATATGAAAACTTTGTCAATAATAACAAAATTGCTGAACAGCAAGGTAGGGATCACTGAAACAGTAACAGTGTGCGTAGGTTTTTGTCATTCACTCTGTACAACCTGAAAATCTGTCCCTAAGTACCCACTTCATAGACATGACCTACTTACCGTGAGTTCAGAGGAGCTATTGAGCTTCATGGTGCAGGAGCCCTTGAGGAAGCACATCCAAAATGCATCACGTTAGTGATTTTCTACAGCCCACCTATCAACCCGCCTATCTACCCATGAGCCACCCCTTCTTCCCTTTCGCAGTGTATTAGATATAGCCCAAAGGAGTAGAATCAAGACAGATGTAAGAAGAAAGGCTCCAAACAGCTACCAGTGGAATCATGCTGTGAACAAGGGAGATGTCTTTGTTTTCTAGTTTCTTCATATACCGGACAATATTGGTTTCTGAGTGATAGCTGTGAACAAAATACACACGGCGAAAGCCAATTAAATTAGAGCCATGTTCATCCTCATCCAAAACAAGAAACATCAAGTTCCACCTCCAAAATATAGAGCAATTCTGGTTACAGGAAACATGTCACCTGTCCATCACAAAGAAGGGCACAGACCCCTGTGGACCTCAGAGGATGTCAGACACAAGAAGTTACTTGTGAGCATGAGAGGCAGGCTGGGAAGAAGAGGACAAAGGGTTTCTGAAATGACATCAGTGTGGCGAGTGCACCTCCAAATTCCCCTCTCCCAGAAAGCACTAGCACAGCAGAGCTACCAGGAGACATCAGGTGTGCTTGTGACTCACATCAGCAACGGGGACCTTGTGGTGTGGATTTATTAGTGAGTCCTGGCTGAGTGGCAGTAGCTCAGACCCTGGCCTGGTCAGCATCAGAAGCAGCTCCTGCCTAAACTCTCTGGTTCACTAGTCACACAAACCTGTTGAACACCTGATGCGTGAGGAACGGGCTGGTTCTCTTGAATACAGACCCCGGGATACCTCTCCACTCCTCTCCCATGCTTTCAGCCACCAGTTCCTGCAGAAGAGACCAGGGAACTAAATGACAAGAAAGTCCAGGCAGCTAGACTACAAACCAAAAATAGAATGTATTCATTTAAAAGCCACAAAAGCCGGGCATGGTGGCGCACGCCTTTAATCCCAGCACTCAGGAGGCAGAGGCAGGTGGATCTCTGTGAGTTCAAGGCCAGCCTGGTCTACATAGTGAGTTCCAGGACAGCTGGGGCTACAGGGAGACCCTTTCTCAAAAAGACAAAAAAAAAAAAAGTGCCAAAACTAGTGAAGTCTTAAAAGAAAATAAAGGGACGTCTATGGAGGACCGATGCATGATAGAAATCATTTCTTTCCCCCTTTTTTTCTAAAAAACACCAGGTAGACCTTCACTTGGGTGTGTGCCACCACACATACCTTTAATCCCAACTCGGAGGTAGAGGCAGGTAGATCTCTGTGAGGTTGAGGGCCAGCCTCAACCTCAGGGTCTATAAATCAAGTTCCAGCAGGCTGTGGCTACAAGGAGACACTGTTTCAAAAAAAACAGGGGGCCTGGAGATATGGCTCAGTGGTTACGATCACTGGCTGCTCTTGTAGAGAGCCTGGGTTGGGTTCCTAGCACCCACGTAAACAACCAATGTGTATGGTGCCCACCCATGTGGGTAGCTAACAACCGTCTGTAATTTCAGTTCTCTCTTCTTACCTCCTTGGGCACTGCATGACATGGGTGCACTTATATACATGCAAGCAATATACTCATACACATAAAATAAAATTAGAACAAAACAAAAACCAAAAAAACCAAGATCTTACTATGTAGCCTGGACTGGCCTGTAAATCAGAGATCTACCTGCCTCTGCCCCCGAGAGCTTAGATTTTAAAAGGTGTGTGCCAATATGTCTGGCCTTAGAAGTAGTTTCTTAAATACTAGACCAAAAGCATTAGCAGCAAAAGAAAAAAAATTGATGAATTATATTTCATTAAAATTAAGAACATTTTGGGGGTGGGCTGGATAGATGGCTCAGTAGTTAAGAGCACTTGCTGTTCTTGCAGAGGACCTAGGTTTAGTCCCCAACATCCATATGGCAGCTAATAACTGTTGGTTTCTCCAGTTCCAGGGGATCCAACATCCTCTTCTGGCATCTGTGGGTACTGCATACATGTGGTACACTTATATACATGTAGGCAAAACACTTATACACATAAAATAAAAATAAAAACATCTGACGGGCTTGGGATGTAGCTAAGGAGGTAGACTGTCAATGTGCAATAATATAAATCAGATGTGATAGCACATATTTATAATCCCAGCACTCAGGAGGTAGAGGCATGAGGATTAGAAATTCAAGGCTGTCCTTGAGACTCTGTCCCAAACTAAAAACCAAACCAAAACAATGAAAAACATCTGAATTTTGGGAGTAGCTCAGGACCAGATCACTTGCCTGGCTTATGCAAGGTGTTGAGTTGGAGGTTAGCACCACACAAAATAAAGAAAGCAAAGCAAGGAAGCAAGAAAAACCTGGAAGGTAAGGGGCGTAGTTCAGAAGGAAAGAACTTCCTACCATGTGAGGTCCTGAGTTCAATCACTAGCACAACAAAATAAATAAATAAGCAAAAATAAGAAAACATATTCATCAGTGAGAATATAAAGAGAGCCAAGGAAAGCAGCTCAAAAGAAAAGAATAAAATGTTTGCAAATCATAAGGGATCTAGAACACTAATTAAATATATGGTCTGTGGCTCAAGCTAATTCCTCCCTCAGCTTACAGCATGATCATCTTGATCATCTTGATTCCTATACGGATGACGTTAGTACCCCTCAAATGTGTACAGATCAATAACTGTAAGGAAACAGTACAGTGTAATACAGGGAAGGAATTTATTTAATTCATAAAGTTCAAAATTAGGAGAGTATTGTAAAGCTTCTTGGTAATTTATAATTGGCGTTTGGTGCTGACGTCCTCTCTCAAAGTGTCCAGACAACCAAAAGACCATCAGTCAACACTGTGGAAGCCATTTCTACTTCTACAATAAAAGCTTTCTCACATTGATTCATCCAACAAATATTCCCTGAGTAATTCCCATACATCGAGCAGTGTAGAGTGTTATGATTAACATCTTGACTCAGCTCTAGGTAGCTACTGGCTCCTCTTTCACTTTCACCCCATAGACTGGTAACCGTGCTCCTTACTTAACCCTGCTTCTCCATTATTGTCAGTTAGTCATGTACAACTGCTTAAGAGTCACGTGGAATCTCTTTCTTCCTGGCCTGTGTGTTTTCCCCAGGGTATGGAGCACAACTGAATCCACCTTCCTCAACAATACCATGGTGGTACACGACAGCCCATCTTCCAGATCTCAGTGTTGTAACGGATCCACGCTCTGGTGAGGACCTCATCCACTCTGCTCACAGTCTCCTTCAGAGGATGCCGGGCTTGTGTGTCTGGATCCTTACTGAACTATATGCTTAGTGGAGGCAGAATCCATGTCCAATTTGCCACCATACCCTCAAGGCATAGCACAATACTTGGTACATATTAGGTCCTCAATAATTATTTATTAAATGAATGAGTATCATAACTTTCTCAGAATTGAAAAGAAAACATAATGCCAATGTCACCAATCAGGGTCAAAACACCACTAACAATCCATGGATGCACGAGCCGGGCTGGAGTTCTGTGACAATCACCTTTAGCTATCAGCAGCCACAGATGCAGGAGACAAGCAGTAGTATAATTCGAACAGCACAGGCTGGCTAATGTAACACTTGGGCCCTTGTTCCTTCACATTCAGACCCACAAGAAGCAGAGCCACCCTAGACACCAAGTCCAATAGACATGATGAGAAATGCATGTTTTATTTTACTTACTGCGGATGACTCACAGCCAAAAATCCATAATAAATCATCTAGATCCTTCTCATTGACTGTTTCATCCAAAGAAATACCAAGCTACAGAAATGAAAACAAAATAGAAATCATCAGCTCCAAATTCCAGATCACTGGAGGAAGCTATATGGGAGATCAAAGGGGAGAAAGTGGCTGGGCCTGGCAGCACACGCCTTTAATCCCAGCACTGGGGAGGCAAAAGCAGGTGGATCTTTGTGAGTTCAAGGCCAGCCTTGTCTATTTAGTGAGTTCCAGGCCAGCTGGGGCTATAGGGAGACACTGTCTCAAAAAAAAAGGGCAGTGGGGAGAGAAAGTGCTGGTCAAACTTCTCATTCATTCCCAAACATAAGGGAACTGGCTATGTCCAAGCTTATCCTTAAGGGAAACTGACTAGATGACTAGACCTTCTCAGACTTCACAATGTTTAGTTTGAAAAGCCACCTGTTAGTGTAAACACTAACAGTCCAATAACTAACTTCAGGATGTTGCCATGGGAACTAAATAGGGTTAACTTTTTTAACCCTTAATTTATTATATCAATTATCAGAGACTTAATCATAAACAGTCCCACATATGAAAAGATAAAGTCTTGAGGAAAGCAGAGAACAATTTATTCTTTTTTTGGAAAAGGTCACAGTAGAGCAAGTCAATTAAACTGCTTACAGCTGGGCGTGGTGGTGCACGCCTTTAGTCCCAGTACTTGGGAGGCAGAGGCAGGTGGATCTCTGTGAGTTCAAGGCCAGCCTGATCTACATAGTGAGTTCTAGGACAGCTGGGGCTACAGGGAGACCCTGTCTCAAAAAGACAAAAAAAAAAAAAAAAAAAAAAAAAAACAAAAAAAAAACAGACTGTACCTAAAAGCCTTGATGTTTGTTGGACAAAAAGGAAAGCCTTAGTGAGAGAAGTCAAGGTGATATAAAGAGCTGGTAAAAATATCAAATATTTGACTTACTGTGCCATCCTCAAAGAGTCGAAAGTTGATTTGTCTCTGAGCTGCTCTGTCCAATACCTCCTTCACGGAGCAGCCACACTGAACCTTCAAGGTGTCAAAGAACAAGTTGTGCTGGAGTTGGTGTCCAGCTCGCTTGAGACCTAGACAAGACAGAAAATCCACTAATCTCTTTCGGAGTTCTGGGCCATACTCATTGACATTTACACAAGTCAAGAGGTAACTCTTATCATAAGTTTGTTCCCTCCTGACCAGTGTTTTAGTGGCTGCTTTAAAAATGAATTAAAGGGGCTGGAGAGCTGGCTTAGCAGTTAAGAGCACCAGTTACTCTTGCAGAAGAAATGGGGTTCAGTTTCCAGCACTCAATCATTCATAACTCCAGTTCTAAGAGGTCTCACAGCCTCTTCTGATCTCTGTAGGCATTATACACAAAGGTGCACTTACATGCAGACAAAACACTCATAGACACAAACGTTTTAAAAAAGAATTAGATATGTTTATTACTATGCTATAGAAAATATTGAAATACATACCCCCCCAAAAAGAAGTAAAATCATCAGCATACCATCCAGAAATAAGTACTATTTATAATTTAGTATATATTCTTTTAGAAATCGTGTGTGAATGTGATCATATACACATAGATCTTTCAAAAATAATCTTCTAAAAGAGTGTAATGAAATTTTATTACATTTTTTAAAAAAAGATTTATTTTAAACTCTGTGTGTGTGTGCACACGTGCATGCGTGCATGAGTGCAGGTACCTGAGGAATTCAAAAGAGGGTATCAGATCTCCTGGAAGTGGAATTACAGGAGGTTGTGAGCTGCCCAATGTGGGTGCTGGGAACTGAACTCAGGTCCTCTATAGGAGCAGGAAGTGCTCTCAATCACTGAGCCATCTCTCCAGCCCCTTTATTACATTAAAAAAAAAAATAGCATATCATGTCTATAATCCTAGCACATGGAGACTGAGGCAGGAGGATATTGACAATTTTCAAGGCAATCTGAGCCATATTTCATGTTCTAGGCCAACCTGGGCTACAAAGTAATAGCCTGTCTAAAAGAAAAACTAAACAACAACAACAAAAAAAACGTCGTGATCACTTCCATCGTCTTTCTCTCTCTTTTCCTTTCTTTAAGATAGGGTCTTGCTGTAGCACTGTCTGACCTGATATTTACTATGTATACCTGTCTGGCCCTGAACCTGTGGCAATCCTCTTGTCTCAGCCTCCCTAGTGCTGGGATTATAGGCATGAGCCACCATATTCAGTCTCATCTTTGCTTGTCTATAGATCAGTCCCCATATAATTATTTAATACAGCATCAAACATTAATGTACTATAATGTAATCACTTGCTACTGAACACAGGCTATTTCCAAGACTGGGCTGCTTTTGTAAACAAGGTTTCAATGGACACATCTTACATATTTATCTAATTATGTCCTTTAGCTATGGTCCTAAAAGTGGAGTAGCTGGATCAAAGTACAATCTCAAAGTTTTTTGTTTTTGTATTTTGCATCTAGATACTGAGAGCCAACTACACCTCTTCATGTGTGCGCATGTGTGTGTACATGTTTGTGTACGTGTGTACACGTGTGTACATGTCCATAAAGGCCAGAGGTCAATGTTCAGTATCTTCTTCAACTTCTGTCTACCATATTTTTTGAGATAGGGTCTCTCATTGATGCTAGAACCAATTAGTTCAGCTAGCCTGACTGGCAAGTCCCAGGGGTCCCTCAGTCTCCACATTCCTAGTGCTGGCATTACAGTGGTGTGCTGCCATGCCCACCTTTTTACATGGGATCAGGAAATCTGGATTAAGGGCCTCCTACTTATGAAGCAAGTACTTTACTGAGTGAGCCATATTACCAGCTCTAATTTTAAAGCTTTTAAAGAGGTAGCTGGGCGTGGTAGCACACCCTTTGATCCCAGCACTCGGGGGAGGCAGAAGCAGGCAGATATTTGTGAGTACGAGGCCAGCCTGGTCTACATAGTGAGTGCCAGGCCAGCAGGGGCTACAGGGAGACGTTCTCTCAAAGAAACCAAAAAACAAAAAAAGTTTTTAAAGATGTATTTATATGTATGTGTGTTTGCCTGTGTGATTTTATGTCCACCATGAGCATGAAAAGCCCATAATGGCAAGAAGAGGGCAGATCCCCAGGAACTGGAGTTACTGGCAGTTAGTTGTGAACTACATGTGGGCTGGGATTGAACCCAGGTCTTCTACAAAAGCAGTAAGCGCTCTTAACTGCTGAGCCATCTCTCCAGCCACCAATTTTAAAGTTTTAATATATAATGTTTAACTGTCACCCAAAAAAGCTATGTCAATATGGTATCAACATTCCTCTTAATCTTTATCAAGGTAAAGGGACAGGGGCTGTGGACATAGCTCAATGGTAGAACATTTGCCCATCATGCACAAGGTCTTGGATTTGATCCCTACCTAGCACCACAAAAAATTAGGACAGCTGGGGCTACAGAGAGACCCTGTCTCAGAAAGACCAAAAAATAAAAAAATAAAAAAATTAAAAAAATTGAAAAATTAATAAAATAATAAAATAGTTGGGGGTTTGGCCTGGGTTCTATCCCTAGAACTCACATGGTGGAAAGAGGAAACCAACTCCAGTAAGTTGAACTCTGGTTTCCATGTGTTCACCACTGTACATGTACCTCTCCACCACATACTAATAAATAAATGTAATATAATTTTTAAAAATAGCCAAGCTTGGTGGTGTACACCATTAATCCCAGCACTCGAGAGGAAGAGGCAGGTGGAGCTCTGTGAGACCAGCCTGGTCTACATAATGAGTTCCAGGCCAGCCGGGGCCATAGGAAGACCTTGTCTCAAAGAGGCCAAAAAACAAAATAAAAAAATGAAATAGTTGGACATAATGACACATGCCCACATTCCTAGCATCAAGGTCATCTTCAGCTACATGGTGAGCTGGAGGTTAGCAGGGACACATTAGACATAGTATCAATAATACCACCAAGACAAAACTGAACAAAAAGATAATGTTTTGCATACAATGCGATTGGGGAAAATGCTATTGTTTTAATTTAGGCTTCTTGGATTAACAGGGAGAGTGAAATTACATGTGTCCACTAGCCATATATTCATATAATTATTTCTTTTTAATGTTCACCTTTGCTCATTTCTATCAGAATCTTCATCCTTTTTGTACATAGGGATGACAGAGAGTGAAAACTATCTATCATAAATACTAACACTTAGTTCATCATAGGTACTGAAAATATTTTTCTGTTTCTTATTTCACCTATAATTTTGCATTCAGGGTTGGGCAAACACCAAGTTTTCGGTTGTACTTACTCATGTTTCAGTCTTGTTATGCCAAACATAATTGACTTACCTTCAGACAAAATCAAAGTGGCATTATGAACCCTTCTAGCAATATGCTTCAACCCGTGGGCACCATGGTAAATGGCAAACATAGAAGCCATGTTTGCCAAAAGGGCCTAAAACGAGAAAGAACATTTAAAGACTCAGTCATGTGCAACAACGTGATAGAAGACGGATGGAAGGAAAAGATGCCTGACTTGGGATGCCCAAATTGAAAACAGAGAGAAGCCAAACAATACACTTTCCTCCCTCTCTATAACAGTTGGGAACTATTTATAGTAGCTTGCTTGACTATCTGAGGGTAAACAGAATACTCAAGATATTCTGAAGTCTATATGAAACCTTCAAATTTCACCACTGTAAAGGGGGTCTCATTGAATCAGCGTGATCATGTCACCACAAAGGGGAAGAACAGGTTGCTTTTAGGCACCAAAAAGTAATATTTAATGTTGAAAGACAGTGGGAACAATAAAGACCTCAAGGGAAAAAGTGAGATCTGAGAATTTTATGCGCAATTAAATAGCTCTTCAAGAATGAAAGCAACAAGCAATTTTCAAACACTCAAAAAACTCAGGGAATATGATCTTCTTAAGGCTAAAACACTAGAGACTGAATTTCAATAATCAAAGGGTTCAGTGAGGCCTGGGGAAACAGCTCAGTGGGTAAAGTGCTTCCCTGCAAGGGAAGTGACAAGTTCAGACCCTCAGAAACCACATAAGGCCAGACATGATGGCATGAAGCCTGACACTGGGGGCTATCCTTTGACCTCAACACAAGTGCCATGGTATGTATGTACTCACACTCACATACATTGACATGCATGCACACACGGGTGTTCATAGAAAGATTATTTTAAAAAGAGAGATCAGTGGAGTTTGGGGTGTAGTTCAGTGGTAGAGTGCATGCTTAGCCTTGCATTCAATATTCCAGCATTGCAAAAAGAAGTTTAATCAAATTCAAAACATAATCTAAAAAATACAAAACCCTTTGGAAAGCATTTAAATATAAAAAGAGATCCAAGAATAAGAACTTAAGAAAATTTAAATTCCATTGGTAAATTAAACAATCCCAGCACTTCCAAGATTGAGGATCAAGAGTCGAAAGGCATCCTTGGCTACAGAGGGAGCTCAATACAGCCTTGACTACCTAAGGCCCTGCCTAAAACAAACAAAACTACACACAAGTTCTGGAAGTCAGGCATGTTGGTCAACACCTGTCATCTCTGTACCTAGGAGGTTGAGGCAGGATTGTGACATCGAGGCCATTTTGGGCTACATAGTAGGACTATCTTTGATAAAGAATAAATGGCGGGGGGCGGGGCTCAGCAATTGTCTCCCGACACCTTGAGGAACCCAGGGATTGAAATCACATCATTAGGCCTATACCCAGCACTTCTAACCGCAGAGTCATCTCGTCAGTCCCTCTTTCTTTGTACTTGTTGCTGTTTAAGATAGGGTCTTGCTGTATAACCCAGGCTGTACTTTAACTCAAAATTCTCTGGCTGCAGCCTTCCCAATGCAGAGATTACAGGTGTGTGCCTCTGCATCTGGCTTCTTGGGAGATTTATTTATTTATTTATTTTTATTTTGTATATATGAGTGCTATACCTGTATGTATTTAAGTGCACCATGTTGTGAAATGCCCATGGAGGACAGAAGAAGGTGTCAGAGCCTCGGGAACTGAAGTTACGGATGGTTGTCAGTCTCCATGTGAATACTAGGATTCAAACCCAGGTCTTCTGCAAGAACAGCCAGTGCTCTTAACTGCTGAGTCATCTCTCCAGCCCCCTTTAGGGAGATTTAAGATTTTTCTTTTCTGTCTCTTTCACGAGTGACTCTGTTTATTTATACAGATTCTTACCAGACTGAAGTTTCTATTCTAAGCCCAAATCCTCCGGCCTCTGTGTCTTCCTTCTGTGCCCGCTTTGCCTAGACGTTCGTCTGCCTCCTCTTGTGCTGTCTTGCAACGCAGATGTATTATTTTATATATTGAAAATAACTTCATTACCTTTTTTTCCATACTGTCTTACTATGCCGAACAGGTTGGCCTCAAAATCATGATCCACATGCCTCTAACTCCCAAGTGCTGGAGGCTAGATCAGAAGCTCAAGGTAAGTTCATCCTTAACAACACAGTGAATTTGAGGCCAAGCTGGGCTACATGAGACCCAGTCTCAAAGGAGAAAACGAGAGATAAACATGATGAGAATTTGTAAAATAGTTCTATAAACTTGTAAAGCCACAAGTTTATAGAACTATTTTAAAATATAATCCATTAAAGATTTTCAGAGATTAAAAAGACAGTCTGCTCCATCAATGATGCAAATCTGAGTGGTCCAATGTGAATCCTCTAATGCTAATAGAAATGATGCAAGGTCAAGATGACAGAATAGTTGGCAGAAGAAGCAAAAGTTACAGTCAAAGACATACGTCATAAAAGAAGGAACTCAAGACATCAGTTGTGTCTTAACAAACAAAAGAGGACAATATTATGCTTGCAAACTGAAGGATGCTTTTTATAAAACCAGTCATGAAAACAAACAATGAAATGAAAGAGGTTATGAAGAACTACATGATCACCAAAATGGAAAGATTAAAACTCAGGTAAGACAGAGTATGGCCATTCCTCAGGACAAATATCATTTTATAATTACTGGAAAAAAATACTGAGAGATGATGAAATCTAAGCTGTACATGAGTGGAACGGAATGAATGAAGAAGCAGCAGAATTTATGTTTGTTAACAGGTTCATTTCGGACACCTAAAGTTCACCTGGAAAACGATTTTCAAACCCTGAAGCAGAAAACTGAAGCCCTGAATCAGCTTGCAATTCAACAGGCACATTCTAGAAAGACAGACAAAACGGGCCAAACAGGAGCAGTCAACTCCAGGGAAAGCAGAGATTTCCAGAGAGGGAGGACAAGCTACTGAAAGCAAAGCATCACCTAAAGATTAAGCAACCGGTCAAAAGAGAAAAAGGAGGGGCTTGAGAGATAGATGGTCATTGCTCCTGCAGAACACCTGGGTTCGTTCGGTTCCTAGCACCCCCGTGGCAGCTAACAACCATCTGTGACTCCAGTTCTACCCCTCTTCTGATCTACATGGGCTGTGCATGACACACAGGTGCACTTATACACATGCTAGCAATACACTCATAAACATAAAATAAAAATAATAACTTTTTTTTGTAAAAAGTGAGAGGAAGTCTGCAACTTCACCCTTCCTATGCCACTGGGAGACCAGAAGGGCTTCCTTTTTTTTTTTTTTTTTTTGGAAAAAAAAAATTAAAAAAAAAAAAAAAAAAAAAAACCCACTGAGGAGAAGTCTCCAAAGACCTGTGGCTGTAGAAATAAATACACAAAGGTCTTATTATCCACTGTATATCAGGAAAGACTTCTAAAATTTGCAGGTGCTTTTGGTGCTAACACCTGAGAAGGAAGAATACTGCACCTCCCATTGAGCTGTGAGATTTTTCATGCTCTCCAACCTGTAATGGAAGAGGTACATCTAGAATAGATCCTATGCCCACCAGTGGCCCTCCATCTGCTCCTAAGGTTTGTTTGGGTTTCTAAGTCCTTCTGACTCAAGCTCTGAACGAACAAGGGTGGTCAGAACCCCAAGAAACTCTACCTTTCCTCTGTCGATTTCAGAAACGTTTTTCATGAGCTCCTAGACCCCTATGACTTCTGGGAACTGCCAGTCGGGACTTCCCCCTGTGGCATATCACCTCTGCCTTCCTATCCTCTTCCTGGACAGTTTCCTTCTCAGCACTAACAGAGGATGCCCAACCTCCACCACATGGACTGCTCAATGACCAAGAAAGCGAGAAACCATGATCTCAGTTTTTATAACACATGTAAACTGAAATTAAAGAGTGGCTCCCTTATCCTTTCTCTGAGCTTAGTCAGTTCAAGATCTTGATGATTTGCTTTTCAGCAAAATAAAATCTGATAAAGTTCTTTGCCTTTGTAATTGTTTTTGGTTAACGACGAGGTGAATAACAGACACTGTATGTGACATGCAGAACAACAGTAGAATTAAAAAACCAGAAGGCTTCTTCGTCAATAAGATCTGGCGGTGTCTGGTGTGCACACTGGTGAATGAATGAGGAAATGGGTGAGGTAAGGTGCTCAGTTCTGTGGACTGTAGACCATTCAGTTGCCAGGTTGGATATGATTTACCTGAGCGGTACAGATGTTGCTGGTGGCTTTGTCTCTCCGGATGTGTTGCTCTCTGGTCTGTAGAGCAAGACGATACACTTCTTTCCCAGTGGCATCCCTGGATTGACATAATGTATCTAGTTAACACAGAGCATCACAGCACCAGGGGTGCCTTAGATGAACTAGCATCTTTTCTTCCCAGCTTGCAGTATTGACTTTTATAATATGGACATATTCTGGATAGATGACTTTTACCTAACCTTACAACCACACAGTAAATCTTACAGCTTGCTCATCATGGGAATAAGCTCACTGAGCCCCTTGTGACTGGGGCATATGACCTTAATCCCTCATGAACCTTCCCTACCCTCCACCCAAAATAATATATAATGTGTATGTACATGCTTTACATATAAAAGTGCTGCTAACAGCACTTATTCTCATTGTAAATAATGAGAGAAATTGTAGTTGTGTGTGTGGTATTCTAGGTCTAGGGATCAAAGGGCAAAATTCTTCTCTGATAAGGGTCTGACTTTTATTTCCCCATTTCATGCTGGACACACTGTTCCAATCCAGAATGCTCAGGAGCATAGTTCCAAGAAAATCAGGAAGAACAGATTCTCAGCAGTCTGGGTCCATGCTTGGCTGAAATGGATGCTAAGAATCAGGCTTGTTTTTTAAGGCACAGCTGGCCATAATGTGGCATCTAATAGTAAATGTCACACTAGCTGAAGGTAATCTAGCAGATTTACTTGGGTAAGAGTTCACACACAGACAACTCCTAAATCTTCCTTTGCTACAAAGGACTGCAGGTATTTAGTTTGGACTTTGAGGCCCAAAGACATATATAACAAGGCTCAGAATAGTGAAAGGAAATTTCTCAGGAGTTACCTTACCTAACAAAATGACAATGACTAAGGATTAAATGGCACTCGAACACTCTTGGCTGACACAGGAAGGAGGGAAATCCCTGACAGAATAGACTCTGTACTAGAGGTTCAAAGAGACCGAGCAGAAAGGAATGCTAAGTCTTATTACTTATCTCAACAAAACTTCCCTCTTTAACGTAATTGAAAATTTTGATGGACACAAAACTCAAGTCTTTTTCTTCCCCTTGCTTTGGTTTTATTGAGACAAGTTCTCACCATGTAGCCCTGAATAGCTTAGTACTTGCTATGTATCCCAGATTAGCCTGTAGCTCACAGCCAATCTTTCTGTCTCAGCATCCCCAGTGCTGGAAATACCCAATCCTAATCTTTATTTCATCAACCTATGTAGGGTCTATTTTTTAGAAATAATTCATTATAGCCGGGTGTGGTGGCGCACACCTTTAGTTCCAGCTCTCAGGAGGCAGAGGCAGGCAGATCTCTGTGAGTTTGAGGTCAGCCTGGTCTACATAGTGAGTTCCAGGCCAGCTGGGGGCTACAGGGAGATCCTGTCTCAAAAAGACAAAAAAAATTCATTATTAAAATTGGCTAATATTGCTGGATGTGGTAGTGCACACCTTTAACCCCAGGATTTGGGAGGTAGAGGCAGATGGATCTCTGTGAGATTGAGGCCAGCTTGGTCTCCCTAGTGAGTCTCAGGCCAGCTCAAAAAAGTACAGAAAAAAAAAAAAATCAGCCAATATTAATTAACATACCCAACTTTTTAAATTAGAAAGTCCTCTGCCTCATCATATTTCCTCACTAAAGAGACATCACCAAAGCTGATGTAAGAGTACTTCAGAAAGCTGTTATTCTTACATCAAAAACCCACTACATCACAAATTCAGAGTTTCAAAACTTCACATCACCTTCACATCATTCACCAATGGCAACTATTCACTTATATTAATATCTCAATTTTTTTTTGAGACACAGTCTCATGCAGCTCAGGCTACCTCACAGAGATCCACCTGTCTCTGCCTCCCTTCCCATGTGCTGGGATTAAAGGCACGTGCCACCATGCCTAGCTTTATTCTAGATTTTATCAGAAAGATTATGATAAATTTCCCCGGTAAAAATTCTGGTATTCCTTTAAATTCATAACCCAGAAAGCATCATCAGTGAGAAGCAGCCAAGCCTCAGAGCCATGTGGCAGAAGCCTCCAGAAGTAATCTGGATCATGCTCAGTGAGTGCTTTTAATCTCACTTTGTGTATGAAAGAGAGGGATGGTGGTATGCATGTGTGGTCTGCTCAACCATATGTACATGTATGGGATGGAAGCCAGAGGTTGACATCAGGTGTCCTCCTCTACTACTCTCCACCTAATTATTTGAGACAAAGTCTCTCCAAATAAACTATGGAGCTTGCTATTTTGGCTGGACTTGGCTGACCAGTGTAGCATGCCCTGGAGATCTGTCTCTCTCCCTCTCTCTCTGCTGAGATTAAAACCATATGCCATCATGCCTAGTTTTGATGTGGGTGCTGTGGATATGAACTCAGTTCCTCATGCTTGTAGCGCAAACACTTTACCTTCTCAGCTTACTCCCAGACCTTCACTGCACTCATTTGAACATATAACCATGTGACATGATGATACTTTTTAAAAATTATATTGAGTGTGTGTGTGTGTGTGTGTGTGTGTGTGTGTGTGTGTGTTTGTGGGTGTGTATGTATGGGCATGCATGCCAGTGTGTGGAGGCCAGAGGAAAACTTGTGGGAGTGGGTTCTCTCTTCCACAAGGTGGTACTTTGAGAAATAAAGTGGTTGGACACAACACACTTAAAAAAATATTCCATCTCTCAAGGCTTCTATCAACCTGTAGGTGATTATTATACTACTTTATAAAGTATGCTCACTTTTTCAAATTGTACAGATTTGTGGTATTCATAAGTACCTACGCATAACCCAGATTCTCTCTTCTAAATTTGTTTTTAATCTATCTCACATGGGTCAATTAAGAGAAAAAAGTCAACATTTGTAATCAAGAACAGGGGGCTAGAGGGATTGCTCAGTGGCTAAGAACACTTGCTGTTCTTTCAGAGGACCCAAGTTTAGTTCCCAGCACCTACATTTGGTGGCTCGCAACTATCTATAACTCTAGCTCCAGGGGGTTCAACATCCTCTTCCGGCCCCCACAGGTACCTGTACACACATGGCATATATTCACAGTAACAGACACAGGCACAGACACAAACACATACATATAAATGAAGCTACATTTTTAAAAAGAAAGAAGACCAGGGAAGATCATACTCACTATAGGGGTGCTACCTTACCTTGTCACCCCCACCATCCTTCCAGGCATCATCCTCACCAAGCTTTCTCTGACAGCAAAAAAGGCTGCATGTGGACCCCCATAGCCCAATGGTACTCCAAATCTCTGTGAGTTGCCCAAGGCAATGTCCACCCCAAAGTCTCCAGGTGGCCTCAAAATACACAAAGCTAAAAGGTCAGTAGCACAGCAGGTCAGGCTCTGAAAAAGAAATGAGGAGAGAAGGGTCAAAGTTGTTACCTTCCCTTGAGAGAAGAGACAGTTCACTCTACTATAGACAGACTGGCAGGGTTGGTTCATTTCTGTGAATTCCATTTGCTTGTTCATTTATTCAACAAACACTTAACTAAGTGCCAAGAATTAGTGAACAAAATAAATGAACTTCAGCTGGGTGTGGTGGTGCATGTCTTTAGTCCCAGCACTCAGGAGACAGAGGCAGGCAGATCTCTGTGAGTTCAAGGCCAGTCTGGTATGCATAGTGAGCTCCAGGCCAGCTGGGTCTACATAGCAAGTTCCAGGCTAGCTGGAACTAAATAATAATAATAATAATAATAATAATAATAATAATAACAACAATAATAAAAAAATAAATGAACTTCACCATTCCATGTGAGAAGTATAAAAAAATTAAAATATAGCAAAAGACAGACGAGGAAAACTGGGACATACTTCCCTAGACCTCCAAAGAGGTTTACCTACCCCAGTCTGATGGGCTCTTTCTACAAGTTCTGTAAAATCCTCCACTTTTCCCTCAGTGTCTGGGTACTGGAACAGCACCCCACTGACATCTCTGCCACTGAAATCCATTTCGTGGGGTAACTTCAGTTCTACAAGTACTCCCCTATATCTGGAAAGACAAGAAATAAATTTTATTATTGTGTATGTATCCATTTGCATAATGTGTGTTTTTGGGTGTAGGTACTTGAGTGCCATGGTAGAAGTTAGGGGAGTAGATGCTCTCCTTCTTCTAAGTTCTGGGAATTGAACTCTGAACATGTCATATGAGCCATCTCTCTGGACTGGGCATTTTAATTAGCACCAGCTGCTTTTTGGAGACGCTCCTTTCATTTTCTGTGCTCTCCCTCAGGGTCCTCTCAGCCTCCCTCACCTCAAACCATTCCTGGCCCCTCCTTCATCACAGTGGTCAACACCAATTCTCATGTATGTCAACTCAGCCTCAGTGCCTGTTCTCTCCATCAACTCCGTGAGAACCTACTCCCAAGAAAGGACCAGGAGCACTGCTTTCTAAAGCTGAGGAACCAGTACCAGAAACAACAGAACCATCATACTTTCACTTCAATCAGCTTTGAGTGAATGAAAAAGATCAGGAAGACAAGAAGGACATCCGTAGATTTCTAAAACCCTCTAATGATGATAGAATGTCAGAAACTCCTTCTGAAGGGAGACGTGGGGTAAAGGGAAGAACGCCCACCAGTTCTGAAGGCAAATACAGTGGTGGCCATGCTGAGGTATTTCTGCTGCTTATAGTACTAAACACAGACACTGTGGGCTGCTCACACTGCATTTAGGTGGTGCAGTGGATTGCCTATAAACTATGCTTGCAGGAAGCACCCAGACAGCCCACAGAATGGGAGAAAATCTTCACCAGCTGAACATCAGACAAGATGCTAATATCCAGACTATACAAAGAAAGGCAAAACTTAAACACCAATGAAATAAAATACCAATCAATAAATAGGCTAATGAATTAAATTCACAGTTTTCAGAAAAAGAATACAAAGGACCAACAACTATTTAAAAGTGTTCAGCAGGGCATGGTAGTACACCTTTTTAATTCCAGCACTTGGGAGGCACAGGCAGGCAGGTCTGTGAGGTCTAGGCTAGCCTGGCCTACAAAACGAGTTCCAGGCTAACCAAAGCTACACAAACAAAACAAGTTTTCAGCATCCTTAGTCATCAAGGAATACAAATTAAAACTGCTTAGAGCTACCCCAAACAGAATGACTATTATCAAGAAATCTAGACAACAAATGTTGGAGAGGACGTGGAGAAAGAGGAGCCCTTATTTAATGCTGATGGGAGTACAAATTAGTACAGTCATTATGGAAATCAGTTTGGAGAGTCCTCAAAAAAATTGAAAATAGAGCTACCATATGACCCAACCATCTCATTCCCAGGATATACCCAGTGAACTCCATACTGTACCATTGAGATATTTGTACCCCCATGTTTACTGTTGCTTTATTCACTATAGCAAGGAAATGGAACCAACCTAGTTGTCCATCAACAGATGAATAGATAATAAAAATGATACATATAAATATAGAATGGAATATTATTCAGCTCTAAAGAATAATGAAATCACAAAATTCACAGGAAAATGGATGGACCTAGAATGCGTATTAAGTGAAGTCATCCAATCCTAAAAAGTGGGAAAAAAAAAAAAAAAAGAAAATTGCATGTGTTTCCCTCATACGTGAATCCTAACCTATAATGTATATAGGTACAGACATAAACAAATTATATACTATAATACTTAGAAAGGAGAGCAAGAAGGGGTAATTTTTTTTAAAAGCATAGTTTTGGGGATTTTTGATGTTCATGGAGGATATGCGAATTCAATTTTCTGGATATGCAAATTCGATTTGCTATCAAAGTAGCAAGACCCATTTCTGCATTCTATAGGTGTTATTCCTTTGAGGAAGTGATTATGAAAGTCAGATTTTCTTTTTTAATTAGGCATGACTAGCCACTCAATACATTTTTTTTACATTGACCCAATTAGAAAAAGAAAAAAAACATTATTTTTTGGTCTTTTTAAGACAGGGTCTCCCTGTAGCCCCAGCTGGCCTGGAACTGACTGCTCTGTAGACCAGGCTGGCCTCAAACTCAGAGATCCACCTGAAACTGCCTCCAGAGTTCTGGGACTAAAGGTGTGTACCACCATGTCTGGCAAGAAAAATATTTTTGTTAAACATGTTTTGTAACCTGAAATTTTTCCATTTTTTTCTTCTGTTTATAACTATACCAAGCAATTCTATTATAGTTTCATTTAATACATAAATTACATTGCCGTATATAAAGGTATGGTTTTTAAATATAAATAATAAAAAAATAAAATGCTAGTATCTAGAAAAAAAACATGTCTACAGGAAGTATACACAAACCATAGAAGTTATGTGAGCTCCCTTTTCCAAAACATTTTTATTTATGTATGCATTCATTTTGAGACAGGTTCTGTCTCTCTTTCCCTTGTTGGTACTGGGGCCTGAACCTAGGGCCTCACCCATGCTAAGCAAGTGCTCTACCACTGAGCTACATCTCTAATCTGTACATTGAGATAGGTTCGTACTATGAGCCTCATGCTGACCTTGGACTTGGAATCCTCCTGATTCAAGTTCATTTTGATATTTGAAATGTCACCCAAAGAAGACAGAATACCATAGTAACTTACTATAAAACAAAGGCAACTTAACTCACCATGTATTTATCCCTCAATAATGACAGTGTATTTACCAGAGAGATTCATAGAAGAAAGTAGGAGGAAAAAGAAAACTCACCAAACTGAATTTAAAGCAGGTTCGCTTCCAATCAAATTGGAAGTGGGAAAGAGAAATAGCAGAGATGAACTCAGTACTACCCTGGGCTCAAAACACAAATTAAATCAGGGGCTGGAGAGATGGCTCAGCAGTTCAAAGCACTGGTTGTTCTTGCAGAGGACCTGCATTTGGTTCCCAGTACCCACATGGTGGCAAACCACTGTCCATAACTCCAGGTCCAGGGGATTTTACTCCCTCTTCTGTCCTCCACAACCATATACATGGTGCATGTATATGCATGTAGGCAAAACACTCATATTCATAAAATAAAAATAAATCTTTTTTAAAAGCATGAATTAAATCAATTACTTGGCTCGGGTCTGGACAACAGCTATTGTCTGTGGATGACAACGAGGGTCGACAAAAAATTTCTTCCTCTTGTTGTGTCTGTTGAAAAGAAAAACCACATTCAAACTTGAACAACATTTCCAAAGGTATTTCTGAAAGACAATTTCTTTGTTCTTTTTGTTTGGTTGGATTTTTGAGGCAGGGTCTCACTACATAGCCTGGCAGGCCTAGAACTTATAGGTCAGGCTGGCCTCAAACTCAGAGATCCACCTGCATCTGCCTCCCAAGTACTGGAATCAATGGTCACCAACTCTGGCTTGTTCTTGCTCTCTCTTTTTTTTTTGAGGCACAATCTTTCCAGTCTCCCTACTTTCCAGTCTCCCTAAGGAGCTGAGGATGACCTTGACCTTCCGCCTCTATCTCTACTCAGTGCTGAGGTGACAGGTGTATACCACAACACCTAATTCAAGCTGCACTGGTAGTCAAACAAACCCAGGCAAGCACTCTACCAACTTAGCCACATCCCTAGCTCCAAAACCAGTTTCAAAGAAGACAAAACAGACATGCCAGTCAGTGGAAGTCTGAGCACAGTGTGAAAATCACTGAGTAATTAATGACCAATATTTACTAAATACAGTCCATTGAAATTCAACCCCATTCTAACTCCATTTAATAAAACCGGTCTTAACATAGTTAAAATTTTAAAAATCTCTATCATGACAAAAAGACAAGGATAATTAGGTACAAAATAAAACTAAAACCACATACATACACACACAAACCTCTTCCAAATTAATGTCTTATAATTTTATTATCAAAAGGAGCACTTTAGCCAGGCATGTGGTGCATGACTTTAATCCCAGCACATGGGAGGCAAAGGCTGGTGGATCTCTGTGAGTTTGGGGCCAGCCTGGTTTATACAACAAATTCCAAGCCAGCTGTGGCTACAGGGAGACCCTGTCTCAAAAAGACCAAAAGAAAAAAAAAAAAGCACTTTAGCCATGGCCGTGCACAGGTACACACACACACACACACACACACACACACACACACGCACTAATAAATATGATTAATTAATTAATAAGGAGCACTTAGAGAGCTGAGGAGATCGTTCAGCAATTAAGAGTGCTTGAACTCACCCTCAAGGCTACTGAGGAAGCTTAAGGGCCCATAAGTGGACTCCACCACAAGGACTTCCATACCTGCTGAGTGTCTAGGCCTCACTTCCCAGTCCCATATCTGTGGGAGCCAAGAAAGAGGACCAATGAGCACTCTGGGACAGAGACACAAAATCTTAGGAGACACTGAATGCAGGCAGATTTCCAAATCTACATGAGAATCCTATGTTAACTACGACCTTTCATATAAATGTGTAGCACAAAATGGCAGAAGCATATTTAGAACCATCCAGAAATTGTTGGAAATCTGTCTTCATGCTAAGCTAAAATTCATCTAAAAAAATTTATTTTATTTTTATTTTATGTGTTTGCGTGTACTGCCTGCATGTAGGTAAGTGCACCCATGTCGTGCAATGCCTATGGAGGTCAGAGGAGGCTGTAGGATTCCCTGGGACTGGAGTTACAGTTGTTAGCTGCCGTGTGGGTGCTGGGATTCAAACCCAGGTCTTCTGCAAGAACAACCAGTGTTCTTAGCCGCTGAGCCATCTCTCCAGTCCCCCTAACAATTTTTTATAATGAAACTTGAAAGCAACTCAAACAGCAAGTTTTTGAGACAGGGTTTCATTATATAGTTCTGGTTGGCCTGGCACTTGATATATAGACCAGGCTGGCCTCAAACTCACAGAGACCCTCTTGCCTCTGCTTCGGAGTGCTGAAATTAAAGGAGTGTGCCACTGTGCTCATCCTCAAATAGCAGTTTTTAAAAATCAAACATTTTGGGGCTGGAGAGATGGCTCAGTGTTTAAAAATAATGGCTGTTCTTGCAGAGGACTTGGGTTCAAGTCCCAGCACCCATATGGCAGCTAAGAACTGTTCGTAACTCTAGTTACAGGGAACTGACTCCCTCTCTGACCTCCGAGGGCACTGCATGACACAGGTGCACTTACATTCATGCAGGCAATACACTCACACACATAAAATAAAAATAAATAAAAAAGAGTCAAACATTTTAGCACACTATAATCTGAAGATATTCTAACTTGATAATTCACATGCTGAGGACTAATGGTAGGAAAAATATTAAAAGTCTTTGTTTTTGTGATTATATTATTGTATCTTTTTTTTTTTTTTTTTTTTGGAAAGGGTCTCCCTGTAACCCCAGCTGTCCTGGAACTCACTATGTGGACCAGGCTGGCTTGAACTCACAGAGATCTGCCTGCCTCTGCCTGCTGAGTGCTGGGACTAAAGGCGTGCACCACCATGCCCGGCATATTATTGCATCTTTAAGGGGAAAAAACTTTCTATGTACAATAAAAACACTGTTGAGCATGGTAGCATATGCCTATAATCCCAGCACTTAGAAACTCAGAAGGGAGGCAGGAGGACCAAGAGTTCAAGGTCAACCTCAACTATCTAGAAAGTTGGACACAAGCCTAGAATTCATGAGAACTTGTTTCAAAAAAGAAAACATCAACCAACCAAAAACATCTGTGCAATTCATAGCATACAGTAGTCTTACACCTGAGCTGAGGTGTTTCAGGCAATGTTCATTGGTGGTACATCACATGAAAGCATGCACAGAGCAAAGTGTGCATGTAGTGTGTTCAGAACAGGCTATAATGAAGTAGCACGATGCAACATGGGCAGGTGCTGCCAAGAACACCCCACATTCTTCACGTTCTATTTTAATTAACTTTTGGTTGCGGTGTATTCAGAAAACTTTTTACCATTGCCATTTTGGGGCTTTTCTTTTTGAGACAGGGTCTCCCTGTAGCCCCAGCTGGCCTGGAATTCATTATGTAGACCAGGCTGGCCTTGAACTCACAGATATCTGCCTGCCTCTGCCTCACGAGTGCTGGGATTAAAGGTGTGCACCACCATGGCTGGATTTTTTTTTTTTTTTTCAAACTCCACATTCAATTTATATGTAACCTCACACGGGGTCACAACCACACTTTAAGATGCTAGAGACTAAACTAAATGTCCCTCTCCTAGAGGGAAACACAGGCTGAACCTCTCACCTGTGGCACAGTTGCATTGCCTCAGCAGCAGCAGTCGCCTCGTCCAGCAGGGAAGCATTGGCCATGTCCATGCCTGTGATGTCAGACACCATGGTCTGGTAGTTGAGTAAACTCTCCAGCCTCCCCTGAGACACCTCTGGTTGGTATGGAGTGTACTGGGTGATCCTGGGAGGAAAACAGAAGGCCATGTCCAAACTGCATCTCTCCTATTCATAGAACTTCATGACATTCCTTTGTTATCAAACTCAGTAACTAATTATCTTGAGAATTATATAACACTTCAGTAAGGTTCTGAGGTGGTCAACCAGATTGGATTTAGAATCATGTAGATCAATGAAGTGCACTTCTGGGTGTGGCTGTGAGGCAGTTTTCAGAAAGAATTAACTGAGGTGGAAGAATTAACCCACAATGTGAACAGCACCATCTAATAGGCTGGGAGCCTAGATGGACTAAGAGGCAGCTTCCAGGCTTCCATGGCATGAACTGCTCTGTTCCCTCACTGTCCATTAACCTCCCCATGGACTGACTTCTCTAAAATGGTGTTTCAGGGCCCCTAAAATGGCTCAGCAGGTAAGGGTGCTTTCTGTCAAGCCTGACAACCTGAGTTCACTCACCAAGACCAGCATGGTGCAGTGTGGGGAAAACCAACTCTTGGAAGTTGTCCTCTGACCATCACACGCTTGCCCATGTGGCAAGCCCATACTCACATGCACACACACACATGCATATGTTCATGCACACACACAATAAATAAACAGTGAGTCAAAACAAATCATTTCTAAGTTACCATTGTCAGGTATTTGGTCACCCCAACAAAAAGGTGATTAATTCATCATCCTTTGGGGACAATCAGTACTTATTTTTCTTCTCTCTACATTTTGTTGTTGTGCTTTTTAAATGCATGATCTTACTATGTAGCTCAAACTAGTCTGCTGCCCACTAAGTAAATCAGGCTAGCCTTGAACTTGCCCTGCTTCTCTTATCTCAGTCTTCTAAGTGCTAAGATTATAGGCATATACCACCATGCCCAGCTCTCTATATTATTTTTGTGGTTCATTCCTATTTTAATGATCTTATTGTACATGTGTATTTTTGCATGGTGTATATACCTGTTTGTGGCAGTATATGCACGGGTGGAGGGCAGAGGTTGACATCAAGTGTCTTCTTCAATCATTATATTAATTTATCGTGTGTGTGTGTGTAGGGCAGAGGGCAACTTCTGGAAGTCAATTCTCTTTCCACCATGTGGATCCCAGGGATTGATCTCAGGTTGTTAGGCCTGACAGTCAGCAAATTTACCTGCTGAGTCATCTCTCTGACCCATTCTCCAACTTGAGACAGGGTTTCATCCATTCAGCTAGGTTGGTTTGCCAATGAGTTCCAGGGATCCACTCTCTCTACCTCCCCAGCACTGAGATTACCAATGTGTATAGCTGTGCCCTGCTTTTACATGGGTGCTGGGGATCTGAGTCAGGTCCTCAAGTTTCTGTGCGAAGCACTTGACTAACTGAGCCATTTCCCAAACCTATCCACATGTATTTTATTGTAAGATGGCTCTTAGACTCCAAGTGCGTCTAAATTATATTATATTATTATATTACTATATTATTATAAATGGAAATTTCATTTTTGGTTGTGGTGATCTGAGTCAGGTCCTCAAGTTTCTGTGCGAAGCACTTGACTAACTGAGCCATTTCCCAAACCTATCCACATGTATTTTATTGTAAGATGGCTCTTAGACTCCAAGTGCGTCTAAATTATATTATATTATTATATTACTATATTATTATAAATGGAAATTTCATTTTTTATCTCTT